AAGAAGAAGAAAGTGAAAGGAGGAGGTGAAATGAGAAGGAGGTGAAAGAAGGAGAAGGTGAAAGAAGAAGAAAGTGAAAGAAGAAGAAAGTGAAAGGAGGAGGTGAAAGAAGGAGAATTTGAAAGAAGAAGAAGGTAAAAGGAGGAGGTGAAAGGAAAAAGAGGGGGGTTGGGGGAGGGGAAGATGCCAGAGGGGACGTCTTCCGGATGATGTATTTACGACAGGGCATGTGAGGCTATAGCTTGCTCTACGCTGCCGACACCTGTGCACCTCTCCCGCCGTATGTTTGTTCTTTCAGGTATGGCAATGTTGTGTGTAAATATGAAATTATGATTTTCCTCATTACGTGTCATTCTGCTAAACTGCAATGGCTTTGGACTGCAATATGGTTCTGCAATACATGAAAGGTAGATTCCTTTATAGAGAATCACGAAAAACGAAAAACCATTCACGTTTCTCAGTATGCTGGAATAATGATTGATCTCTTTCTCTTTCAATCTCTTTATATATATATATATATATATATATATATATATATATATATATATATATATATATATATATATATATATATGTGTGTGTGTGTGTGTGTGTGTGTGTGTGTGTGTGTGTGTGTGTGTGTGTGTGTGACTCTTTTTATACATACACACACACACACACACATATGTATATATGTGTGTGTGTGTGTGTGTGTGTGTGTGTGTGTGTGTGTGTGTGTGTGTGTGTATGTTTGTGTGACTCTTTTTATATACACACATACACACACACACATATGTATATATGTGTGTGTGTGTGTGTGTGTGTGTGTGTGTGTGTGTGTGTGTGTGTGTGTGTGTGTATATATGTATATACATATATATATATATATATACATATATATATATATATATATATATATATATATATATATATATATATATATATATATATATATATATATATAAATATATATATATACATATATATATATATATATATATATATATATATATATATATATATATATATATATATATACATATATATATATATGTATATATATGTATATACATATATATATATATATATATATATATATATATATATATATATATATATATATATATATATATATATATATATATATATATATATAGTGAATCTCTTAAAAAGAAAAAATCTTCAATTTTCCAGTTCGTCTCCCTTTGCGTTTGTTGTTTTGTTTCTTGCAATTTTGGTGCAAGACAACAATATTTTTGTTTCTGTTTTTAGTTGCTAGCAATTTATTTGGCACGCATTCCATTGCAGAAATGCAGTGAGTGGGGGGAGCAAATGGCGATAATTCTGTTATTGCTAAATAATGGATTTTATGGTTCGTTGATTTCGTAACTGGCTGTAGTTGAATATTACGAAATTTAAGTATGATAGAGTGGTCATATATTTTGTTTTTTCGCGCAGTAAGGTCCAACAAGATTCCGTCAATATTTTGTCAATTAGATTTTGGAAAAAATGCAAATTCACTTTAAGATAAAGATTTGTATGTGTGTTTGTGTATGTGTGTATGGAATATAAACCTGCATTGTACATGGATTCATTTGCGAATTTGTGTTTTTGTTTTTGTTTTGTATGTTTGTGCTTTATTTGCTACTTATTTATTCGTCTATGTAAATGAAGGTTTTATATCCTCTCCAATTGAAGAACAAGTGAGTGAACAGAATAATAAGTACATAAATACAAAAGATGAATTCCCTCCTGCTGCGTATTTACCCTCCCTCTTTCCCTCCTCCATATTCCTTCCCCCTCCCCTCCCTCCCTCTCGCCTTCTTTCCTTCTCCGCACTAATTCTCCCTCTCTCTTCCTCTTTTTCGTCTCTTTATCTCTCGGTAACATATTCTCCTCCTCCGTTTCCTTTCTGACATACCTTTTCCCTCTCTTTCTTCCCCTTTTTACCCACCAGTCCCCTCTCCTCCTCCACTTCCTTCCCCAACCCCCAATTTCTTCCCCATCCCCCCTCTCTCCCTTCCCCTCCCGACCAACTCCCTTTCAATGCGTACTTATCATGGGGCGGAACACAGGATAAATAGACACACAGAGGCTGTATATAGGCACTCATGCAGGCTACCTTGACACAATCACACTACATAAGTTATATAGACACGCAAGCAGAACCCAAAGACCTCAAACAGGTCACATTGACATACAAGCAAGCGACATAGACGCACAAACAGGCCACATAGATGTACAGTCAAACTATATAGGCACACATGGAGACATACAGGCAGACTACACAGGAACACAAACAAACCAAAAAACTACATAGACACTTAGACACAAAGGCTAGACAGACACATAGGCACAAGGGTAAACTACACACACACACAGGTACAGAAGTAGACTCCACAGACACACAGGCACAGAAGTAGACTCCACAGACACACAGGCACAAGGGTAAACTACACACACAGGCACAGAAGTAGACTCCGGAGACACACAGGCACAGAAGTAGACTCCACAGACACACAGGCACAGAAGTAGACTCCACAGACACACAGGCACAGAAGTAGACTCCACAGACGCACAGGCACACATGCAGGCTAGCTCGCACTCCCACACGTTTAAAGAGAGCATTTAGCGAGCGAGCGTGATAGCGGAGCAGCAGTCGGCAGGCGCTGAGCATCTCGCGGTCAGAATCTAATTTGCTCAGAGATACGTGATGCAATGTAAGCCCCGAGATAACGCTGTGCTACGTTGGCTGTGCGCTGAGGGCCATTTCGCGAGGGCTACGTGGGAGTTCGGAGTGAAGCCTTTTTCTCCTCTCTTCTCTCTCCTCTACTCGTCTCTTTTCTTCTCTTCTCTCTCTTCCTAAAAATACATACATACATATATATGTGTGTATATGTATGTATGTATGTATGTATGCATATATATATATATATATATATATATATATATATATATATATATATATATATATATATATATATATACATATATATATATATATATATATATATATATATATATATATATATATATGTATATATATATATATATATATATATATATATATATATATATATATGTATGTATGCATAGATAGATAGATAGACAGATAGATAGATAGATAGATAGTGTTTCTCTATCTTCATCAACACGCACACACATACAAATACACACACACACACACACACACACACATACACAAACACACACACACACACACACACACACACACACAAACCAACAAACACACACACACTCACCTACACACTTCAGACCCAGACAAGATACAAATAATCTCTCTTTTCCTTTTCCACTTCATCCACGCGCTTCCACTCACTCTCCCTCACTTTAACTATTCTTCACACAAACTCGCGGATATTTCCTCTCTCTCTCTCCTGGATCTCAACTAACAACTCCCCCCTCCCTCCCTCCCTCCCCACCCTTACCCCTCCCTTCCTCCCCTTACCCCTTACCCCTCCCCCCCCTTACCCCTCCCTTACCCCTCCCCCCCCCTTACCCCTTACCCCTCCCTAACTCCCCCTTACCCCTTACCCCTCCCTAACTCCCCCTTATCCCTTATCCCTCCTCCTCACCCCCCCACCCCCCTCCTCACCACGGAACCCCCTCTTTAATTCCGTAATATCACAGGCGTCACTGTAGGCCCGGCGATCCCTTAACCCGGTAGAGATATTAGGTTGGCCGATGCCGCTCAAGCAACGAGAGGAATTCAGATGCACTTCTCCTCTTGTTGGATGCTGTGGAATGAGTTTGTCTTTTCTTCTTCTTCTTCTTCTTCTTCTTCTTCTTCTTCTCCTGTCGCGTGTTCCGTTGCCGTTGTTGTTCTCTCCTCTTTGTATTTTCTTTTACTTGGCTTTTTTTTTTTTTTTTTTTTTGGTGTCTTTCTATTTGATTGTTTGTTTGTCTATCTGTCTGTTTTGTTCGTCTGACTGTCTGTCTGCCTCTTGTCTGTCTGTTTGCATGCTTGTCTGTCTGTTTGTCTCTGTCTCTCCCCCCCCCTTCCCTTCTCTCTCTCTGTCTGTCTCTCTCTCTCTCTCTCTCTCTCTCTCTCTCTCTCTCTCTCTCTCTCTCTCTCTCTCTCTCTCTCTCTCTCTCCCTCGACCTCCATTCTATAGAATCTGAGTACTGGAGAACTTTTATAGGAAATAGTGTTTTGAAATGTTCTAATACTCATTTCACAATACATTGGCCCCAACTTTGCCAATGCTCTGAATCTCTCTTGATCTCTCCATTTCTTTCGTCTGATTATTGTATTTTATTATTTTCTGGCTTTCCTTTTCTCCCTCTTTCTCTCAACATCCAAGCTGATCCCTTCCCGTATCTCCTTTCTTCTATAAACATTTTCTTGTTTTCTTTCCCCGTTTCTTTGTCTTCTCTGTACACTATCTTCCTCCGGTATCTTTCACACCCTCTGTGTCCTCTATCTTTTTTTAAACTTTCTTTCAATTCTCGCTAAGTAAATGTAGGGCGGCGAGAATCCCCTCTTGTTTGAATTAGATATTTTTCCTCCTCTCTCTGGATTAGATCATGGAGCAAAAGTGGACAAACTGCAACAGAAAAGATATTTTTCCTCAACTTTAGCAATCCACTTGTTTCACAAAGTTTATTTCACCTGCGGCCGAGAGACCCTCGTGCCTTGCTCTCACTCGTCACACAAACTAAATATTATACAACCAATAGACTAACTCGGATGCGTTCACTGTTTTTTTTTTTTTTTTTACCTAGTACAGAATTGCTTTTTGGTTTTTGTACAATTTTTTTTTATCGTTTCTTGTGATTGGGAATGATACGAGATATGATTGAGGGAGGGAAGTGATTCCTAAGGTTGGATATTTGTTCAGCTGAGTGGGAAGGGGAGAGGGTGGTAGCTGTGGGGGTGGGGGGAGGGAGTTCATGTTGATATGGAGTAATGTGTCTTGATGCTACGAACCCGAACAAGGCCGATATTTGATTAGGGTGACGCGGACACCATACTGATGATATCGTAAACTGAGTCATACATGGAAGGTTTGGATAATCACACTACATATACACATACACACACACGCAAATGATTGGACCTTTACATGATAGATCATAGAACAAGGAATAAATATGTGTGTATACACGCAGACACACACACATATATGTCTGTCTCTATATATACATACATACATACCTATATATAGGTATGTATGTATATAATGTATATAATGCAATGTAATCCCGCTTACCCTCCCTATAAACCTCATCTCCTCTACCCCGAGCACCCACCTCCCTCACATCTTCCACTCACCCTTCCCTTCCTACCAACTCAACCTCCTCGAACCGCAACACCCTTTACCCAATTCCAGTCACCCCTCCCTCCTTTCCCCTCCATTTCCAACCCCCTGCCCCCAGCCCCTCTCCCCCTTCCTCCCGCCCTCTCTCCGAGAAGCTCCCTCACTGGCTTCCCTACACAATGCAACTTTTAATGGGTCTTTCTTGTCCCTTCAGGTCTGCTGCGCCTCCAAGAGATCTTTCAGTCCATAAAGCCGACTCAGGTGGGCTTCGAGATCAGAGTGGTTCGGCGTGTCCACTCGCCGCAAGACGCTCTCGCTTTCTTGAGGGAACTCGAGAAGAATAACAG